ATTGTAAGATGAATAAGGAATATTGAGTTACAAGTACTTTAGTACATAGAGTGGGTATGTAACGCAGGTGAAGTAAATGTTATAAATATACATCAGTTTGAGCTATACTAACCTATGCTTCATACCTGCTGTTAAATGTATTAAAAAGCAAAATCTTCTTAAAACTATATCGACCAACCAAAATTTTGTCTAAAATATGTCCTTAAAATTGGCTATATATAAATATTAAAAAAATTTTTAAAATACAATAGTTTATTTTTTTTATTATTAAAAACAAATAATAAAAAATGAAGTGGTCATTGTAAACATATTTTGGTTCTGTTCTGGAATGCTATTTTTATAACTAAATATTTACATATATAGAACTTTTGAATATTCAATATATTAAATAACTTATAATAGGGAAAATATCGATCTAGGGATTATCTATAACGTTTTTTTTACAGTATAATACATTCAATTCATGCAATAAAATACATATTGAAAAATTCAGTTAACACCTTTTTCCGCTGACTCCTTCAAATAAGATTATAACGTACCCTAAGAATGAATTAATTCTTTAAAACGAAATTTTGTTTGTATAAAAAGTTATGGAAGTTGTCAGTTAAATCTGTTTAAAACTATTCTAAAATTATAATTTGTACAATATCAAATGATAAATAAATATTTGTTTACTTTAAAAATTTATAAATGATTTAATTTAGTATTTAATTGTTAATCTTAATCTAATTAGAAGCTGAGAGGTATTAACATTATTATGATGTGTTTTATTTTTTTTGAGGGCTGTTACCACTTTTTCATAGTTTTTACCTAATCGATTTCTTTCAACGATACGTCAAAAGATCACAAATTGTAACTAGTCGACAACATTAATTTCAAAAACCGAAAAAATTTCTCTCGTTCCTCAGAAATAGAGGAAATCCTCCAAATAATCAATTTTTAAATTTGGTTATAAATCGGACACTTTACCTGCCTACAGGGAGGTTTGAAAAATTTTCGACAAAAATTAACTTTTCAATTTAAAATGTTTCAAATTTACTGATACTTTTATATATATCTCAAATTAAAGCTTATGTAATAGACTTTATTTTGAAACAAAAATTTGACCTCTAGACTAGTCTTTGTGATGTAAGCGGAAATCAAAGTTAAATAAAAAAGTACAATTTTTGTGGAAAAAATAGAGACATTAAAAAAATTTCATAAATTGTTGTACAAACACTTACTTGAAATTGTTTATAAGAAATTAGTGTAAATTGCATTGGCGTATTAAAAAAGAAGTGAAAGGGGACTAATTGAAAATGTTTATATTGACTTTAAACTCATATAAATTTAGAAATTTAAAATTTTTTTTTGTTTAATATAGTTTTTTATAGTCATAAAAAAAGATTGGGTTATCATTTCAATATGAAACTCTTTATTAGCACATTTCTTTTTTTTTTTATTTCAATTTTTAAAAAATGTATATCTAAGCGAAATTTTTATTTTAAAATACCTTACAAAGAAGTACACTAATTTTCAAAAAAATTATATGAATCTATTGACATAGAATATTAAATTAATCTTATTCATAAAGTATAATCTGATTTTTAATAAAAATTTCCTTGTAGACCAATTCATAATTAACAATACAATTTTATTTTAAAAGTCATCAGGCATTTAATTTTTATATGCGTTTCTCATAAAAGTAACAAAATATAAAATTACTTTATAATTTTTTTATAATATATCCGTAAAAATTAGAATATTGAACTATCGAATATCAATTAAATACTAAATTTAATATCAATTACTATACTAAACATTGATATATTATACTTACTAAAATTTAAATACTTACTTAAATCAATGACTACTAATGAGAATATAATTAAAGATATTATGTTGTTTTTGGAATATTTTACCAATTTCTTAAAATTAAACATTATATACAGATTTGCATCGAAGCTTTTCTTATGATAGTGATTTTAATCTTATCATTTATACTTGTCTCAACAATGTCATGTCCATACTGTGTCACTGAGCTACCGTTTTTTTTCATTATATTAAGATCAAAATGGTATTATAAGATATTATCTTCCAAGATTATAACGGAAATTCCTTATACCTTATACCTTGTAAGTGTATCAACTTTATTTTTTCAGATGGAAATGTACATAATTAACTAACTTATTGGTTAGATAATGTTAATATTAATAAAATGACTAATCGATAATAACTTTTGGACTAGTATTTCAGAAGTTATAGCATTTTAAAAAATGAACTGGCGTGAGTCGCAGGTATATATTTGGGCGGCTCTTATTTTATTAACTTTCATTGATCGATCTCCATACCCGCCAATTTTGTTTTTTATTGTATGAAAGTTATTTGTGTAAAATTTGGTTATGATAACTTACTTCATTCAGGTCCGAATCGGGGTTAAAAATTTGCTCAAAAAGATAATTTTCCAGTTTTTAATTATTATTTTTAAAACTAACACACTTAGCGTAACAATGTATAGAATATAAATTATAGATTTTAATATTTTATTCTAAAATGGTATTTACTAAAATTTTCTAAAATTATTTTTACTTGCTCAAAAAAATAAAATAAAAGAATAATTTGCTAAAATTCATTTTATGAATATAAATAATTCTTAATTGTCAATATATTCATTTTACAATAAAATGTTTCGTAAAAAAAAATATGTTAAGTTAAATTTTCTAAAATATTGGTCTTATGTAAAATTATAGTCAGATTTATAGTTTCGCTGTTTTAATAACACTAACGATCTAAATAGGATTGTTTAAAACTGTATATTCAGGGTACTACGATTACAAATAGGATACAATTAATAATAAAAAAAATTAGTGATGTGCATTTTCAAATATTTTAAACTATCGATTAACTATTTAAATTATTTTTAGCATAAACTATCAAATATTTTAAAAACTATTCGAATAAACTATCGAATAGTTCGATAGTTACTATACGATATTTCCCATCACTAGTTACAATACAATTATTTACATTTTGAGTAGGTGTTGTACCCATATTTATTTATTTATAAAAGGTGACTAATTATGCCTCAAGCAATACCTATAAAAGTATAAAACATATTATAATTTTTTTCTTTTCGCAATTTTATAGTACCTTATGTTCTATATTTGTGACAGACAGTAGGAAAAGTGTGTCCATAAATGAGATAAGAATAGACAGAATTGCGCTTACAGATATAGACATCAAACTTTATTTTTTTATATCTGTGACCGTGTTTCATTTCAGTCAATATAGTAAAGTGCTGCTAACTTTCAAAATACTGGTTCGAATGTTGTTATGTGTAATACTCATAACAAAATTCTAAATACGGCACAAATTAACAAGTTAATTTAGTTTAAGATCTAAGTATCTAAGATTTAGATTGAAGTAATCAATGAGCACACATTAAAATTAAAGAAATTAATAATGTAAAATATAAAATCTTAATTTTATGCATTTAACAATTTTTAAAAATTAGTTATTTTTATACCCTTAAAAATTAATAATTGCAATCTTAAAATATTTAAGTTAACAAAAATTTGTTGAAAATAAAATAATAACTAAATAATTATAAATTATATATTGTTTTTTGTTAATTTTCTTCTTCTTCCTCGCCTTAATTTTCTTATTAATTATAATTAAAAAAATATGATTAAATGTATTAAAATAATAGTTATTTACAGTGTTGGGTAAATTACTTTTTTGGTAATTAAATTACAAATTACTCAATAGATTAAGAATCAAACTACTTAAAAACTCCTCGAAGTAACTAATAACAATGTTACATTATTTATATGATAAATAACAAACTTCATTAGTTACATTTTATAATTATATAATTAATTTATATTAAAATAAAATTACTTTTTATTTCTGTAATTACACTATTCTAAAACGACTTTATAAGTAGTTTAATTGCTGTAACTTTTATTTCAAGTTAAGTTACTAACCAACACTGGCTATAATATAATTATTTTGAAATAATTCATTTTTACCAGGAAAATGTAAAATTTTGTTAATTTTCAATTAAAATCTTTAGTTTTATTAAAAGTTAAAAAATAACTTTTTTTAATTATGTTTTTTTATACATTATTATAAACTAAAATTTTAAATTATAGTTTTGAAAATTATTTTTAAAATTTAGTATGTTTGCATGTACTTGACATTTGTTGGTTGTATATACATTTTGTAAACTTTTAAAATTTAATTGAACTAAAAATTTTCAATTCGAATTTAATGAAATTTTATCGTTTAGTTCTATAATAATATGCATTTTAAAGATTACAGAGAGAATAAAATAATATAAATAAAATAATATTTATAAAAAGCTTTCAAGTTCATTTGAAATTTTCTTCAAATGTTTACAATTGTCTCACTAATTCGGGGTAAATGTGAATAAGTAGTTATGGTGTTTGAATTTTTCAATTAAATGTATATAAATTATTTTTGTTTGAGTCAATAAATTAATAAATATTTTATTTTTTAATTTTTTAACTGAAATCATATTTGTTTATTTAATTTAAAATGTACGTTGGATATTTTAAATAAATTTTTAATTACGTCCACTTTATGCAAAATTTGAAAAATAAAATTAGTGTTTTCTATACCAAAAAATATCATTTTATGTGTCTTTATACACTTTTCAGAAACCAATAACATATTTGTTTATAGAACTGGGGCCATAAATTTTTTATTATCAAAACAAAAACTTTTACCATGAAATCTACACACTTAATATAATATAATATAATGTTCACGCAAGTAACAAAAATTAATCAGAATATTTTTTCCTTGATAGCGCACTGATTATATTTTTTCATATAAATAGATTGATCGTATAATTTATTAATGTATATGAATAGTTGTATTTAATTTTGTCACTTTAGGTTTACCGTATTGCACGCTTCAATATATTGACTGTATATATGTAATTGTTAAATTATAAGCGAGAGGTTTTTTTTAATAATCTTGAAAAAACAAAAACGTTTCGATACATTGATATTTTTTAATAAAAAAAAATTGTCTTCGCATATATAATGAATTAAGTAGATTGAAAAAAAAAACATTTATTTCATAATTGATAAATTGATTTTCTAATTAATCCCGTAGTTACCAAATCCGTGTCCACCATGGACTGCATAATTAGAATAATCTATCTGAGGGTTTGGATTACTGTTTGGCAAATAACCTGGTGGAGGTGGTGGCAGAGGTGGTCTGTTTGGTCCCCAGCCACTGTAATTAGGGTTTGGTGGCTGATACGGATGTGGCTGTTGATAGTATGGCGGGTACTGCGATCCGGGATAACCGCTGTAAACGTTACTCCATTGACGAGCTAACCATAACGTAGGCGATGCCATCAAGTCAGGTTGATCGTTTGTTGTCTCTGCGTTGACCGTTAGCAAAACGCACTAAAATGTTGCGTTAATTAGTACAAAACGATGATAAAATCTAAATAATAAAACTTACAGAGTAGAGTATAATTAAACAGTTCATAATCGATTGGTCCATTTTGTCGAGTTATTCAATGGAAGATGTACACTGGTGTTTCAGTTGTGTCGTTCCCTTTATATGGATTTCTCGCGCTTAAATATAAAAAAAAAACAGTGAGGGGTATTTACATGTTAATCATATCGTTATACGAGAGCGAATAAATAACCTTGACCGTAACCCGTAATTTTGTGGAAGTTCAACAAACGGAATTCAACCAGATTCTTTTGAGTCACACTATTAGGAAATACCTAAAACTCATGATTGTTCAGTGCAAAGTGTATGCACGAACCTGTGCATCAAATTTCACGTGCAGCCTAAACAAAGCCCATAAAATTAGGCAACTGGTTTAGAACACATCTTCTTTTCCGCTTAAGCTGATAATATCTATTAAAAATTACGCCACAGATCAATGTCAACAAACTCTACCGGTTCATAGTTACGCTATAAAATTCTTTGGAAAACGTAAACATTAAATTGAATCGGTGACGTTTGCCATCGATTCAACTTCACTAACGACCGATTTTTCTAACGGTGACAGTCATTTGCATTTTATTAGAAATTCCTATTGGGCGACAAAAATAAAAAAATTACATAAATAGTTATGGGATAACAATAACACTTTTTAACAATCGCGAGTCGCTCAGTTTCCAAAGAAATAGTTAAAAACACAATGAAATAGACTATAAAATATATTCACTGGGCGACATTCTTAGCCACTTCGTTAATCGTGTTTCATTAAAAACAGAAGACATTTACTTAAATCAATCGAAAATTATGGTGTTCAGGTCAAACAAATTATTGTCTGGTGAACCTAAATTGGACCCTACTCGAGTGTAATAAATTTACGAAATTATACAAAGATAATGTAAAGGATGTGTCTGTTAGCTAATTGAAAGAGTTCAGATCTATTACCCAAACACGATATTATTTTGTCATAAAAAAAAAACAGTCCATTATTTCCGTGCACTTTTCAGATAATTATTTTGATTTCCAATGTGTTTTTTTTTGGGTATATTTTGAAAATGAATACAAAATATTTCTGTTGTCATCAAACGACAGATTAGACGTATTCTAAAAATATTAAATATTTTGTCAAGTAAAACAATTTTACAATAACAATGTGTTTTTAATCCTTCCAATTAAAGTTTTCCGTTGGACACTGATTAAAAGTGTAACAGCAACACTATCTACGAGTAGCCTTTAATGTCAAAGGGATGCACTTGCTCCGCTCACCTTATAGACTGCATCGTATTTGTTCAATACAACTGATGTATTATACGGATATGTTTATATCTCATTACTATACGAAATTTATAACAATACGGACGGACTGACGGTGCGACTAGTCTAAACAGTGGGGACGTAATGACGAGAGACGCAATTTGACGCGTAATGTTGTACAACCGTAGTCACCAGTGAGTCGGTGCAAATCTGTTGCCGCTGTCGTGTCGTTACGCTTACGCCCCACGCGCGCAACCGGTCCGTCGTGAAGCCTGTCCTAATCGGGCACAGTCCTGACGTCGCCAAATATAGTTGTATATTCGGGACAGAGCTTTTGTTTAACACAAGCCGATGGTGGCGGCGGCGGCGATGATGTGCCCGGGTTTTTCCGAGTACGCCGGCTACTCCGGCAGCCGGTCCGATTCGTATGCATTCGTAGACGGATTGGCGGCTGCTGATAAAATACGCCGACCCAGCATTGGTCGGCGCCTGGCCGCCGTCTTCGAGCCGTCCTGTAACAAGCTGTCCATGAAGATTTACGGAAGTAAGAAGGCCGTGCTCAAGGAACGCTATAGACAAAGGTCCTTGGGCGTCTGGGTCATACATCCGTGTTCAAAGTTCAGGTAGATTCAGCTTCAAATTAGATAGCGTCCAAAATGATGGCCGTTTCATTATATTCGAGTACATTTGCACAATGAGTGCAACAGGGCCCTCCTATACCATATGTATGGCAATGATTAAAATTCTTATATAATTTAATATTGTTTTTTGTTATCTATCAATATACGCGAGCCAACATAAAAGCCGATTCGAAATTAATATGAAATACTAAAAACAAAGTAACGCACAATGTAATCCGTATGGAAGGTTGAAACTTTGAAATCTCAAAACGACATTTTTTAAGATACAGCCCATTTGCACTCGCAGTGCAAAGTTATCTACAACTTCATATATTTTCATCTTAATACACAATACATAGCCGAATTGTAATTATGGAAAAAAATAGACATGGACTATTTACTCTACCTGGCGGTCTTAAAGTCAAACTAAACAATTGATATGGCGAAAAATAATTTTCCATCTATTAATTATTTACATTAGGCCTTTAATTTACAGTGTTGAAAATATAAACTGTAAATTTATTTAGATTTTACAATTTATAAGCTTTTTTACAGTTTTACTTTGTGGATTTTTTTCTATCTGTTTCTCACACACATAAATAACAATCAGCAACAATTCAATATTTTAAGTGTATGAATCATAGTCTCCTACTCAATAATAGAAATTAATAAAATGAGTTTTTAAATACTAATCGCTAATGTATAGTCATGACCTAATTGTGTGTTTGGAATCTTATAATTGGTCATTCAAGATTTCTAAATGTTCTTGATAATTTCATGGATAAAATTAATAATTTTATTGTTGAATCAATAATGATTGAGCAAAACTAGTGTAAGCAATTCATAGTGTAATAGTGAAACTACAAAGTGTAAGTTAAATAGAAATAAAGTGTAAAATAGAATTAAAAATATATATATATGAATAACTTCTGTTTTTGCATTAAACTTAAGTCTGGATTAAAAAAAAATAAAATTATCAATAGAACTGTATAATCAGTAATTACAACACTAGCCTAACGTTGTTCAAACAACAGAAATTACAAGTTTCTTTACAGGAACAGTTTCGTTTAATTTTTCGAAAAATTTCCCATATGTTTTAATCGTCTTGATTTATTTTTAAGAAAGAAAAATATTCTCTTTCATTTCACGTACTAATGCTTATTTTTTTTTACTTATTTCTGTCAAAAAATTGAACCAATTTCGTAGGAAATTTTATTTTACAGTTTTGCTCATCTATAACGTAATGGTTAATTAAGCAGACATTTTTACAGCTGTTTAATTATGCGCTTGTACGTAAATTAAGTAAAGTAAGAGAATTTAATTCGTTTCATACGTCTGAGGTAGACACTAAAAAATGTTGAAAGATTTTTTTTTAGTCAAAATTAAACTTAACTTTTTAAAGAATGTTCTAGCAATAGTATGCGATAAGCGCATAATATGCTATTAGCGCAAAATTTAAATACCATTAAAGATAACAACTAGAATATATATTTGTTGCCAATTTAATTATATTTCTATCACTAATTGTTATTGTAAATAGAAATTATCTAAACATTATCATGTTTTAGAAATGAACAACTGCGAAGGGGAATTTCATTATTTTATTTTTTTAAATAAATAACAGTAAAACGGGTGTTATTGATTAGAACAAGTTGCCAAAATAACTAAAAAATCGGAATGATATTTGATGATACCTATGTAAGATGGTGCAACGTATAATAATGTTATTGACTTCTTATTTTACCCAAAGTGAATCTCATGCGGAAGAAAATAATCATACTATAAGACTTCCTGCGGCTTGAAGTATACGATCAGTGTTCTTCTTGGAATGATTTTACATTTATGCATTATATACGTCTATTTATTTACCCGGCCGAGAATAAAAAATTAATAATTTATATCAATGTGTACCACGTTCATATTAATACTTTTATCAACTTGGTCAATGAAGAAAACCTTTTGAGTTTTTTTGCCATATAAGTGTATATTTTTTTTAATGAATTCTATAAGAGCATTTGCACTTAATAATAATTATTGGATACGATGCTTTATCAGAATAGTAATGACAAAGGTTTTTTCAACACATCAAATGAGTAAATTAATCGTGGCCTGGTCGCCGACTGCATAAAGTCAACTTAACAATTTACCGCGTATGAACATTTATAGACTAGTCACAATCATCTATAGAGTACTATGGTATTTTGCTAGCCGAGATCTCAATCTTTCAAAATTATTAGCGTATAGATCATTCGTAAGCTTTATTTACGGTGTTTTTCAAAAGTTTAAGCCTTTATTAGTTTATATTTAGATAAGTTAATGCCTAAAGAGGATTAACTAAACTGAATAGCTTGTATAATAAGTTTAACTGGAATAAAAAAATATCTGCCGTCTGTGTAAAAGAGACAAACGATATATATGTATTGAAATTAATATTGGTATAGCGACGCAAAAGTGCACTTGAAAATGATCTATATCATTTACGTTTCATACTAAATTAATACTCCTGTTGACTGTGAAAATCCTTTTTTTCTGATGTATTATGCGACAAAGCAAGTGTCTTGTAATTTCTATGTCAATCGAATTCGTGAAAAATTTCGTCAATTGGAATGTCATATCTCACAAGAGGTTTTATGAGATGCGAGGTAAAGAACATCCTGAAAAATATGAAAATAAATCATACCCGTGACATTAAATAAGGCTGTTTGCACGTTGAAACATAAGTGTGACGCCATCATATCTGGTCCGCGTACCGAATCCGTATTTAAATGCCACTAAGAAGAGAAATACCAAAAGAATTGTATGAGCTTATTTATTTTTTACACACGACAAGATGAATAAATCTATTTTCTTAATCTCTTCAGCAACTAATCATATTGATGTATCGTATTCAAGAATTGCAATAAAGCTTTGAAAGTGATGCACTAAAATCTACTTTTTAATGCAATAAAAATTTATCAAATTACGTAAAAATATATCTTTATAACGTAAAAACATAACTTCGAAAATTAAAATTTAGCTGGATATAATTTTTTAAAACTGAAAAAACAATATATTAACATAATCAAAGTTCATAATATTAAACTAAAGGTAGGGGTTGAGGGTATAGTAAAATAGACTACAAACATTTTTTGTATTGAAGGGGATAAGAGTTTTCTCATGAATAGTCTCCCAATAAAACCTTAAATACGACATTACTATGTGATGGGGGGGGGCATGTGCCTCGCTCTTAATATACATATTTTAACTGTTATCAATTTTTGTATCTATAAAAATTTCTTGAGCTATTTTTTTTAAGTGATGTATGCATATGTTGTAATTAGAAATTTCGTTATAATTGTATTGTTGCGTTAAGATGATTTTGTTACTGTTTAAAAAATAATGGTTTCGAGTGTTACAATATTCACATATTATATTAAAGTCAGCTAATACTCGCTAAAAATAGTTGTATAAAAGTTTAAAATGGGTAAAAAATCAAATACTTTAACAGTGAATAAATAACAACTCAAATCGAAATTGTTTCTTTGTGTATAAAATTAACATAATTAATACAACATAAATTGTTTGCCGCATTATTCATGATTTGATTCACGACTTCAAACTAAGTTTTTTCGATCTTGTACTTAAAAACAAAAATAAAAAGCTGTGTTACAAGCGAAAAATTCGGCTTTTAAAGATTGTTTAAGTAAAACGAATCGTAAAATAATTTACTGTTGAACCGTCAAAAAAAATTTAACGGAATTAGTATTATTGTCCAATGAATAAAATAAACTTTTATCGCCCGACTTGATTCGCAAAATATTCTATAAATTTATTATTTGCCATTACTTTAATAGCTATTCTTTCATTGTCGAGACTTTGCATTGAAATTTATTTCGTTTGTTCATATATTTGAATGTTGTAAAACAAAAAAAAAAATGCTCATTTATAACTATGCGAAAAATGTGTGGAGTTTAACGGTTTTTTGCGCTTAAACCGTCCAACGCAATATCCTTACTGAGTCATTAACGAGCTGAAATGATTTATTGATACCGTAATTATTTATTAATTAACTTTTTTTAAGATATCGCTATAAAAACTTCATAAAAAATATTAAACTGGCAGTGTAATAGTGTCAGCTTTTTTCCATAAAATTTTTCTATTAATATCTTGGTGGTGATTTTATTCAGGAAATCTTTTGAATGTTTAGATGAACCAGTGATTGAATTAAATGCTTCCATTAATTACAAAATTAAATACCAGGAAATGAGTTTTGAATAATATTTTTTAAGCAAATTTTTTAACTATATACAAATTATGTAAAATAAAAAAACAAATAATTATTCAATAAAACAGTGATTCTTTTAACTCTAGCCACTCAATTACAGTAAAAGAAAATATTTTGGTTTTTTTTAGTTACATATGTAATTCTATATTTTCCTACATATGTATCTCATATTCATTTTCTTAACTGACAACATACATAATTAACTAGATTATTTAATAGATAATTAATAAAATGACTGGTCAATAGCAAATTTTTTTATCAGTCACGGAAAAACTATTCTATAGTTATGGTTCGTATAGTGACAACATATTTATACAGTTGGAAGAACAATTTTTTTATAAATAGCCGAACTAATATAATTTGACTATAATATAATTTATTTGGTTTAACTGTATAAAATAGTTCTTTTAGCTATATAATTAAGTTGTTACTATAATACCGATAATTTAGGTTGGTCCAACTATATAGTTCTTTCCGTGTAATTCAAAAGTTATTAACAATTTCAAGTAATGACTAGAGGTGAAGCGCGACTGCAGTTATTTTTATCTCTAGTTACTTCTTAGCTTCATACAACAGGAGGAATAGATCTAAAAACTATTTTATAACAGATAAATGGTGGTGACACATAATATATAATTTTTTTTAGTTAAATAATATGTAAAAAAGAAATATTTTTTTAGGAGAAACTGAGTGGCTAGCTACCTATAGGAATCACTCTGTATATTAAATAATAAAATGCAAAAAAATATATATTAAACTGTTAAATTTAGCAAACGCTAAAATTGGCCCGTATTTTTAAATATATTAATTGCTGCAATGGTAAAGGTTTGAGCCCATGTAGGCATTCTTTGTAATTGACGTCCAATTATTCTGATGTGTTTTTCATTATCCCTTTCTGAACTGTTATCCATTTTAATATGATATCAAATAAGATATAAATAAACGGCGCTGTTATTCGTTGGCTGTTTAAACGTTCCTAATGTTTGCAAACGTTTTCTTTGAACTGCGTTTAAATTGACTACGTTAGCAATATTTATAGTATACATTATGATTTTGTTATCGCGCACAAGAGTACCTCTATGTACATACACCGTGTCTTGTACAATTATATATATATAAATTTCCATCTTGTTGTTGTTGTCGAGCTAAAGCGTTTTGTAAACACCGCAAAAAATACATAATCCCGGGCGACCGAAAATTTTTAATTGCTTTATTAATACTCTTAAGCTTGTTGATTAATCGTAATCCGGCGTTCAGAACAAATAAAAATATGTAAATAATTAATTTATTAAAATAATATAAAACTAAACTAAACCTAGAGTATGATGTGTTGAAAAAAGTGTAACTACTCGTTACGGTGGTGTACCGTTTTACTGTATATTATTGATAAGAACAAAATACTATTGAATAAATAAAATACGAAATAAACATACAAATTTATAAAGAATAGGGTTTTTTTTTAAACTAAATAATTAGTTTGTTTTACCAAATTTTATTTTTCCAATCACTTTACTAATTTTATATTGGGATTTATTTCGTGTTATATTTATTTAATAGTTTTTTGTTCTTATCAGTGTTGTTGTTTATCAGTAACCTAATGGTTGCGCGATCCGAAACTAGTAGTCACAATTTTTATACATAATACACTAGGTTTAGTCTAATTCCAATAAAAATTTTTTATTATTTAAATAAATCGAGTATTTACAAATTCAAAGAGTATAAATAATTTATTTATTATTAAATAAGAATATACGAATAGAGATTTTTTATTAGGTAAACGCAAACTTGTTTTAAAATTCACCTCGACGACGTTGGACAAATATTGTAACGCGTCACAATACATAGAATGAATTGCCAATATAAATTTTTGTAATAAAAATAGCAAGTAAACACCTTGTTATTGAATATTTTACAGATTTATAATACATAGTTAATTAATAACTTTCCAAAAGTTGTCAAACAAGATGTTTCCAACTATCGTTTTTACAGTAAAACGACTCTATTATAATCATTAACGAATAAGATGTTTTTTTTATATTAATATACGTTTTTATATTAAAATTTAAGAAAACATGAAATGGTTCAAGGCGAAAAAATGAATGATTGTTATTTTTCAAGTATTTTACATTTTTAATGTGTAGAAAGTGAAAAAAAAATCAATACCTTTGGATTACAACACATGATTAGAATATTGACATTATAATAACCTACGCAAATTCGTTTTTTACCATATTTGCGAAATTACTAACAAAATATTACTTAGTTTTAGGAAACATATTTTTTGTATTTATTGAAATGCTTTTGATTTATTGATGTACTTTAGGTAAAAATTACATTATTTTTATTTTGCTAGTAATAGCGTTTTTATGCAAAAAGCATTAGTACAAAATACAAAGTTTACTTTTATTATTAACTTTGAATAACTCTATTTTAGAGTTATTTAGAATTATAGAGGGAAATATTTTTTAAAATACTAATGAAATGAGAAAAGTGGTTATTCATTAATAGTCCTTTACTTTATCTCGTAATCGCTAACTAATATTATACTTTGTGGTATCTCGTAATTGTCTGAAAGGTATAAAAAGACTTTGTTATTCTCTCGAAACTTAATTATAGCTTAATTAATTTTTTTTTTTTTACCTCTCGGTTAAGGTTACTAATATTATTAGGACTCCCGTGATCCATAGTATCGCGACCATTAAGTTTATGATTATGTATTTTTTCTGGGCTTTATTAATATTATAATTATAACTTTTACTTTTTTGACAGCAATAACTACTAAGTATTTGGTATTTCTCGACAAGATATTTAAACAAAATAAAATAGAACGAGTCACTCGACTACGAAACATTATGTCAATAATGAAAAATGCCGCGTTTGGATTGTCTACGGACAAAAAAGCGAACATTCGGTCTGTTTGACAAGTCGTCCTTTGTCGCATCGCACTTATAAAACAAAATGCCTGGGGGACCAGAGACAGGCTCGTTGCCGGCGGACCTGAGGCGCTGGTGCTGTGCGAGAGACAAACGTTTTCGGTTCTAGTGCGCGTAATGACAACGCGAAACAAGTGATTATCGTCAACGGCTGGGAGGGCACGGCGGACGAGATGTCAAATACATTCTCGACGAGTTGCGAAAACAATAATTAGCAGTGTAGTTGAACGACGTGTGCCTTGTGTGGCCGCGTCGCAGGTGGCCGCCCGGACAGACATTACCGTGTAATGTATGCGCGTTCTCGTATTCTTCAATTGCCTTCTGCTTTCAATTGCAATGCCGTCCCAACTCGGCCGGCGGCGGCCACGTGAAACGTCTTGTTTTCTGCCGGCGGCGGCGGCGGCGAAGGGTACGCCAGTGTGGAGTATACAATATTTTTTGATATGTATTTTTTGTGTTCCGAAAAAAACCATCTGCTCGTGCTCGACGGCACGTCCTTTTTATTTAAATTCCCGTTCGTCAGCTCGTCCCGGAACCGCCGTCGCTTTAATCCAAGCTCATCGTTAACGCGTCCCGGCTATCGTCGTAGATCAACTTTTTATTCTGTTCTACACTCATTAACAACACAAATGATTTCTGCTGATCCAACGCGCAGTCGACCTAAAAAAACATGCGAATCTTTATTCGACGTCCCCTTTCCGTTTCGGCGAAACGCGTTAGCATTAACGACACTGAAGACGACACAAAAACTGATACCGCGTCAACTATATTACCCGTTCCGCAGTGACAAACGGTTCACTAATAGCTAGAAAAAAATCATTCGATGCAACTAAAAGTAATGCCCGCGATATTGTAAACCGATAATATAGTGAAAAATAGTTAGCAAGTGAAGTATTTTGCGTGCTAAAAATGTGTGAAATAATATCGTAATTCGTGACAAATCGTCGCGATGCATAATTGAAAAGGGTCATCCATAACCATTGTCAATAAACCATTAGTGTAATTAACGATTTTATAGGAAAAAAGCCGTTGTTATACGTGCATTTTTTGCGCGGCTCAGTGGATAATATCTGAAAGTAAAGTGTAGGTGATCGATCGGTGTAGTCATTTTATTCAATGCGCGCTGTGTTTTGGGTATTTGGTAAAAATGGCACGTGTAAATTATCGCCAACAACAGTATATGCGTGTGACTAAATTTTTTTAGCGGAAATTATCGAAAAAAATAATGTGTCAAAAACCGGAGGATGCGTTACGATTATCTGCTGCTAAAAAACAATTGAAATCGACACGACGATAAAACATGATACGCACAAAACGTTATTTTATAAGCGGTAAATGAATGAATGAAAACAATCGATGGCATCGGGTTAACGAGTGCGAGTTATCGACTTACAAAGCGGATAATTCGATTTATTTGTTGTAAATGTACAAGTTTATTTATTATGTACACGATAATCGCGTTGTGAAGAACTAAGCGATTTCGAGTTTGCCGTACACCACGTGACTATAATATTTGGGAAGAGTATTGTGAGCAAAACAATACTTGGCACGACTTTGCCAGTTTCGCCGACCTTTTATCAGGTTGCAACTTTTATAAAATATTCATCATATGGCCGGGAGCCTTTCAATAAATAAATTCGCAATTTAAGGCATTTGCGTAGTGCGCATAGTAAACGTCGACAAAAGTTAAATTATACTAAGTCATCGAAACAAAATTTACAAACATTCTCTGTTGTTTTCTACTCGGAGAATAAAATTAATTCCATTTATTTGCATTTGTACTCGTTCATTTATTTTTTGTTCGACGTTTGATTATAGTTAGCTCGGAACTATTTGCGCCGAGTCTTGAAAACGATTACGACATTCAATTTGAAAAGAAAGCGCAATAGTATATTATTGTTTTATTGAAGACATTGTCCAACAATAATCTAATTTGTTTGGAAATTTATCATATTTTTTTATTCCTAACAGTAATCGTTTAACGTTATTTTCAGGTTTTATTGGGATTTGTGCATGCTCCTGCTGTTGGTCGCTAATTTGATTATTCTTCCAGTTGGCATATCGTTTTTCAATGACGATTTCGACACCAGGTGGATTATATTCAACTGCTTGTCGGACACAATTTTTTTAGTCGACATAATGGTTAATTTTAAAACGGGTAATATTACACGCATTGTTGCTTTTTATAGTTACTATTATTTTCGACGGTCGTAAAATTATTTTATTTATAGATAATGCATTTTAATAATGTTAACCGTTTGTTACTCCTAAACTGGTGTGATTAGTGTTCGACGGTGTTTATAAGGTTATAACACACCACTGTATTATTTTAGGCCAGAGAAACACGACGGTTTTACAATGTTTCAATATCGAAATGTCAACGCACTATGCTAATTAGTGTGCAGCAAGTTATTTCAGGCGAATTATTGTTATTTAACATTTTTTTAACCTATTATGTTACAATATCGTTGTATATGTTGAACGCACGTTTTTCTTAATTAATTATTGAACTGAGAGAATACTCGAATATGATAATTCTTTATTCTGCTTATAGAATATGAATAGTAGAAAGCTTCACATAAAATCGGAAATTTTTAAACATTGTTTTTATACAAAGCTTTACTTTATTTTTCAACCGAATCATATTTATAATTTAAATAATTTATGTTAAATGTAATTTCTCGAGGTTATACATTTTCTGATTATTTCTCATTGTAAACAATTACCGTTGTGTGAAAATTAGACAATGACAGTTTTCAATCGTTAACTGGATAATGAATATCCAGTTATTACATGACATTATTTAATAACGGTCCATATAGTTTACTCGTATGACTTTTAAAAATTAGGTTGCTCATTAGTAAAGCATCTCGATGGCGTATGAAGTTTTAATTTTGGATATTTTTATTGAAACGTTGACGACTTGTCCTGTTGTATACATAAATATTAATTAAATGAATTGAAGACGTCGTTTTTTTAACGATTAAAACAACTTGCTTATGCGTGTGATTATAATTATAGCTTGGGCATAAAATTAACAAAAAATACATTCTTACGCAATATCATTATCATTTGAATGCAATAAATGAAGAAATTAATGTAAATTGGATAATTAACGTAATGAGGATAAATTTCATTTTTAAAAGCGTGAAAAATAATAAGTTACAATTTTTCCAGGTATCCTACAAACGGACACTTGCGAGCAAGTGACTTTGGATCCCAAAGTAATCGCTAAGAACTATTTAAAGTCGTGGTTTTTTTTGGACTTGATCAGTTCTCTTCCGCTGGACTACTTGTTCCTGATGTTCAACCAAGTAATTAGTGTTTGATACGCGCGCTTTCTAGCGTGTATACTGTACGCATATGTCGTTTTCTTCTTTAGAACGTAGGGGAAGGCATTCAAATATTGCACGCGGGACGCGCCCTCCGAATCCTCCGGCTGGCCAAACTGCTCAGCTTAGTAAGACTGCTTCGTCTGTCTCGGCTGGTGCGATACGTTAACCAATGGGAGGAAGTCTATGTAAGTATTGCGACGGTTTAACCGAAAATGCATGTCAATTGACTAACTGTTTGTACATGACGCCAAAAGGCTTGCTCGATTAACGCTCGTCCATTAATAATTGTAACAATTTTGACACGCAGTTAACTATTTTTTATGACACGCCGGTCATTCGAAATGATCTATGGGCTGGCATAGTAATAGAGCCGTTCATTAGACTCATGAAAATGGAAAAAAAAAAAAAATTATGATTAATTAGTTTGTTTGGTCAATTAGTGCGCGCGATGGTTGCGTCTATGATCTATTGTAATAGCGGTTCACGAGCGATGCAAATTTATTCGCCAGTACATTGCGTTCCCATCGTAAGCGACGGCCGTTTATGACTTCTCGGATAATTCAATATTGTCGTTTTAAGACAATCAAAATCAATCGTGCTTTGTATTTTTAGCACTCTGATCAAACTGCACATCTACATTTTTAAGATACAATCACATAGCTATTTTGAGCTGACCGATTGAACGCTAAAGAACCATTTGGGTTTCATGAAATCAATATTTAAACGTTTTCATCCTTACACATAATCGATCAATGTACAATATATGCTTTATGTTCATTCGTTTTTCAATAAAAATGCGTTGAATTTACAAATCTGCTATTTGTCGTTCAACTAATTACACGTCGTTAGAAATGTTCAATACTTTTTATAAACATTGAACGCTTAAAACTTGGCCGTAATTTATTGCGAAACCGTCAAGGGTTATTTCTTTTTAAAATTGTTTCCGCTTAAAGCGATCAATTAATCTAAAGGTTTTTTAATCGGCATATATTACACAATAGCGGCCGGGCTAACAGTTTTACCATAACAAGTCACGGGCAATCGTTATCCACTTAACGATGTCCGACTTAAAAACTTTTCTGCAAGTCGTTTTACAGCGCATCATAGTAACACCGTGGCTTGTTTGGCTGATTGTTTTTGTTTGTAGATACTAAAAGGACAACCGAATGTGTCATCGAGCCAAGGAGGTCACAGCGACAGCGTAACAATGACCAAGGTAGGTGATAACGAGCAATAATTGATTTTATATTGCGATTTTATGTAAAACTTTCCGAATTTCTTTTTCGCTATTCACTTCTTTATCGTTAAAAGAATAAAAAATGCTCGAGTTTTTGCACATGTCCTAATAAAAACCGAGGTAATTTTAAAAAGAATTTTTACCCGGCGCCAAATGTGATTTCTCTCGCAGCAGCTGTGTTTATTTTCTGTGACACGCATTCCAAAAAGTAAAAGCATACATTGATTATCAGAATTTTCATATTCGCCCCAAATACATTTTGCCGTTTAAACTTTAATACAACTTTGCCAGTTTTTATTTCTCACTTGTGTCGTCACGCCGTACAAAGTGCACTGTAATTGAATGATGGCCCGACAACGTGTTTCGCATAACGTGTCACTACTCGATTACAACGGCCATAACAATTGAAACACTTGTATAGTACTTAACACAATCATCACACCAATCTAGTAAAAAACTGAACGAGCCACCGCCGAGTAATTGAAACACAAAGTGAGTCTGCCTTTGTACAAGTACACCTCGATCGCTTGCATTCGCATATTAGCCAGACAATATGCTCGAAAAGTAACACATTAAGTTTATGTTCTAGTGAATTTTAATTACACAGCCTGCATGAAGTCTTACAGCTTTTATGAGTGTCCGTCTCACGTGTGTTTGTGTGTTAATTTTTATTAATATCCGCCATTTCTTTCAATTAGTAGGATAACGAACAACGATACAACAACGTTAATTGATAAGTATAAAAAATTCCGTTCTGAAAACTTTTCATCGGCCGTATTAATAACAATGTTATTGTACCACGTAGTTCATGTGCAAAGGTGTTCGGAGCTGAAAAATAAGTAAACCATTTGAAACATGACGTTGAAGTGTAGCGAACGGTTTAAGGTATCTTTTAAAAATTATAACATGACAACTCCAAAAATATTCTCCACTAACTATGACACGCATAAAAAATTCAACAAGAAAACGATAAACCACTCACGTCCACAAAACATCTATTGCATATGAATTATTTCTTATAAATTATCTTATTTATACGTTTTTCATTTCGGTTTTTATTTTGAAATTTGTCGGAGGAACCGCATTACGTGTATCGACTAATATTATGTCAGAGTTTCTGAATAACGAAATGTGGAGGTACACAGCGTAAATGCAATGAAGATGATGATATTGGCTCATAAAGATAGCAATATATTTTTGTCACTCGAATAAATCAAATTTAAGTATAATAAAATGTATTCACGAAAAATAATCAGATATTTGACAATATGGATACATTTATCAAAGTGTAATTACTGATCATTGTAGTAAAATAGCTGTAGTATCTAACACGAGTAATATGAATAGAATTATCGATAATGTTGCTGATAACAATTACAATGTTGTCAATGTAAACAACTGAAATACCTACACTGCACATAAACGAGTTAATAAGTTAAAGTTTAGTTTAGTTGAGCTTTTTAGCTTAAAGGAGATGTTTAGATTTTACGTTAAATTAAATTCTCTTTTGTTCAGTAGTAATAAGATATGGTCAACTTTAACTTAATATATTAAAAAAATAACAGGTTAACATTAAATTAAAATATACGAAAATAAATAATATAAATAAATTAAAAAATTAGAGGACACTTGGACTTATTAATTCTATGAGATATACAAATCAACTATATGCAAAATTCAAAAACCAACCATTTAATGATAAATTACTAAATATTTATAAAAATTATAGAAATTTACAAAATATAACAATTAAAAATAAAAAGTTATTTATTTCTTAAAACTTATTCCTTACGTGAAAGAAATCCTAAGAAAAAATTGGAATTTCAGTAGAATTTAATTTTTTTATGAGGTTAAAATTTACTGGTGTGTTTCCACAATCATTCAAAAAACAATCATTATACCGTTACATAAACAAATTAATTAAAATAATTGTGTTAATTATATGACACTATTAATTACTAGTACCATAAGTTTCTTTTCTATGACCGTATCATACATAAAATATAAAACTTTTCAGATAAATGGTCAATTTTTTCTAATAATCAAGTTTCAGGAAAAATAAAAGATTTGATAAGCCTTTAATAATAGTAATTAATTATGTTTAATTAAAAAAAGTTAAATGATAGAAAGTTGTAATAGGGCTTATTATAGATGAAAAAAATGCATTACCTTCAGTAGATAACTCAATATTACTTATTAAATTAGAAAATTATAGAATCAGGGGTGTTGTCAATAACATTTTTATTCACAACAAATTTACATAATGTGTAAATTTTTAGTAAATCGAAAGCAACAATTTAGAGTAAAAGATTGTTCAGTAAAGCGATTTCCTTATTTCAAATCGTGGTACACATTAAGGTACTGTTTTAGGCCCTCTGATATTTATAGTACACATTAACTATACATATTTATAGAATGTTAATGACTTATTAAATATTAACTGTGATGGATCATTTTTTTGCTGATGACATATCATGTGTGATTGATGATGTAAATAGCAAAAATATATATTTTAATATTGTTAACAATAATAATAATTCCTGTGATTGTAACTGCACTTCAAATTAATCAGCTACAAAGGTAAAGTATCAATGTTTTATAATTGAATCTAATCTTAAAGATAGATTATTATTTTTTAAACTTAAACCCCTTAGAATTATATTTTTACTTTAAACTATGAGAATGATCTGCATTACTATGATTTAGTATATAAATTCATGTTATACTGGAACTTGAGGAGTTGCGTGCAATAATTATTCACACCTCAACTTATTTGAATTCACTATAAATTTTTTAGTTAAAAAATCATTAAATGATATTTTATCTTTAACAAACTTTATATGAGTGCTAATTTTTTATATAAAGATTTCAATGTTTAAAATGATTAAAATATATTGTGTGTATGACAAATTTTTTTTTAATTATATTTTTTTTATGACACAAAAATTTTAATTTAAATAAAACCTTTGCACAAGACAAAATTAAAGTAATATGTTCATTATATTTAAATGTAATACGGAATTAAAAAAAAAAACAAAATGAACGTGGGAAATAACTTGTCAATTAAATTAAATATTGACATTAGTTTCTTTAAGGGTTTTAGAATTTATAAAAAAAATAAAGTATTATCTTAAAAAAAAAAATACTGTTAATTATAAAAGTATTACTAAAAATTAAAAAAGTAATAATACTGATATTACTTGATGGATAGTTTAAAAAATATTGAAAGTGGACCATCAAATTACAATTGTCACATTCATATTTATGCCATAATTCATCTCTATTATTAGATTTAGATTTATATAAATTTAATTAATCAAGTAGTTATGTATTTTATTGTTATTATTATTTTAAATTTGATGCATAGCTGAGAAGCTATTAGTTTTCCTTTTTCATGTGTTTTTTTTCCCATTACGCCAATACGAAGGAACCAATGGGGTAATTTTTTCAAACTGAAAAACATGTTTTTTTAGTGTGAATTATTTTTTGCAAACAAGTACTTTTTAAATTAAAGCTTAATTTAACAAAGATTAGTATTTATATCAAGTATCAAAATATTTAGTAGTCTGTCAAATCTGCCATTTTTTTTTTTTACAGGGGATATCGTTATTCCTGGTTTGTTTGAAAATTTGAATATTCAAATATTCATTGAAGTTTATAAAATAATTTAAGTGCTTAGTCATTTATAATTTCAAAACCTAAATATAATTACGCATTCTGAAAATATTTTGAATAAATTCACATTTTTATTCATATTTTACCAAACAGTTTTCACCGGTAGAAACGTGGACACAGTATTTCATACCTTAAATGTAAAACAGTAAGATTTAAAAATTTTAATAATTCAAGTTTTTTATGTAACTTGTTTGTGTATACTGTTCATAGTTCGGATAAAATAAAAGTTCGAATTGAAATTGAATTAATTCAAAATTTTTTTGTCGCGTTTCATTATTTATCAGAAAAAAAAATAAATTTTGCAAAAAGATTAACCAAAGTTTCAAGATAACACTTTTTCATTTTTATTATATTTTCTAAAAATACTTTAAGCTCTGATGACAGCTTTATAAATTAGAGGAAAAAATAACACTTCAGCTTATTGTAAACAAAGCTGGTTTTTGGTTTTTCATACCTTTTTGTCTTTAATATTACTTTATTTTTTTTCTCGTGGCAATAAACGGACCTTTAAAATACCTTTTTAACTTCGTATCGAATTTAATAAAATAACTGTTAACAGTGAACAACTTTCGTCGAGTCTGAACTAAGTTTATATAGTACTGTTATCTCGTCGTCAAGATATTTCTGTATCAACAATCTATTAAATTAAATGCTCATTTAGCGGAAACAAAAATCGAATTTACTTTGTCAAGGCCATTTTGCAATGTCTACGTTTTTTACAGAGTTTCTCGAAATAGACATTTTGAATTATTTGTGCGGGACAGCCTATGGGATTTTATTTATAATAATTAATAGCTAAAGAAAGAAAAAATAAATACTTAAAAAAAATAAAACTGAAACCAAAATGTTCAACACTCTTGTTGCGTAGATGATGCACAGTAAGAAAGCAATATTTAATTATATCCTGTAAGTGTCATTTGAATACTCAGGTGAGCTGATTACAGACGTTGAAGTAAAATTTTAGGTGGTAGTTTAAGCTTCCAAAAAGTTACTGTAGAATAGTATTGATGATTTTTCTTTTAAATTAATTTCATAATTCCCAAGTGTGTTTTGATTAGTCAATCTACGCTACAACGAACACTTGTACTATTATTTCAAATATTTTTAAGATATTTAATTGCAATGATTCACTTTTAATGGTTTGTTTTGGCGTCTCATTGATTTTATAGTATTATTTAAATAGTTATTTTATGCACGGACGGAAATCCATCAGGAGGATAATTGAAAAAATTTCCCTTACTGTAAATCATTCTTTAATTTTATTTTAAATTACTTAGCTGTTTGAATAAGTATATGACACCTTTCCCGCCTAATGTTGATATTTTATATGCCCATGAATTCATTTCAAATATAATTATTTATTTGTTATTATGTATTTAGTTTTTGTGAATAATAATAAAATGAAAAAATACAATTGTTTACTTTAGTTCTTAAACATGGCCAGCGTTTTTATGAGAATTTTCAACTTAATATGTATGATGCTGCTCATTGGTCACTGGTCTGGTTGTTTGCAATTCCTGGTGCCAAGCTTGCAAGGTTTTCCACCTAATTCATGGGTAGCCATAAATGAATTACAGGTAAATAATACAGTGACATAGATATTATGCTATTGCACTACTATTTTAATCGCAAATGTCAACGGGTGTATTAGATATGAAGTATTTACTAAATAACCGTAAGCACGTGTATTAGTATTAGTTTAATACAGTGATTTATCAAATTCACTGTAATTATCCCAATTTAATAAAGCCAGCATTGATCGTATAACGCAATACGATTTCACTGGGAAGATTGAATATGATTTATTCAAAGCAAATACAAAGTGCATACACCAAAACAATCGGTCGAATTAACCAATTTCAAATATAATACAGTTAAAATATTTTTTTACAAATACTAAATTTTACAATATGTCGTCAATATTTCATTTACCATTAATGTTTATTTGTTTAATCAAATATGTTTACTTTGTATCAAACCAATGATAACATTCATTATGAACATTTCAGTCGTTAACCAAAATCAAATACATGTACATCTCAAGAACCTATAGTTTTTTTTTAATCAAACATAAAGTTAAAGTAAAAGTATAGGNATATTAATGTTTTTATTTGTTTAATCAAATATGTTTACTTTGTATCAAACCAATGATAACATTCATTATGAACATTTCAGTCGTTAACCAAAATNCCATTAATGTTTATTTGTTTAATCAAATATGTTTACTTTGTATCAAACCAATGATAACATTCATTATGAACATTTCAGTCGTTAACCAAAATCAAATACATGTACATCTCAAGAACCTATAGTTTTTTTTTAATCAAACATAAAGTTAAAGTAAAAGTATAGGTAGTAAAAAATGTTGAGGGAATATCAAATGAGGCACAATTCTTAATGAAAGATATATTTTTTGTTTAATCGAATTCTTTTTCAAACTAATTTCACGGAACAAAAACTTGAATATCGAAAACATACTTTACCGATGGAATTTATCACCTCAAAATATCCTATCACCAATGACTGTCATGAAACCCGAATACAGATTTAAAAAAAGAAAAAGAAATAATAATTTATTGTGAAGTAAATTTATCGACGTTATAAGTTAAATGGAGGTTTATTGTGAGGGTAAAAGAAGAATGAAGTAAAAAAACTCACAAAAAAGCAATAGCAAAGGCGGAACAGTTGAAAAATAGATATAAATGTAAAGGTTTCTATCATTATCTTGGCATTCTTCCACAGAACTCAGTGCGTTTCACAGGAGTTCTTATATTCAAATAATTTACAGTGGTACATTGGCACGTAAGAAGTTTTAATTTAAATACGTTTCAAGACAAAAAAATGATATCATTATTATTAATCGGTATTAGTTTAACATAATAGCATTACTGTCGCTATTGATAAAAAAAAAAAAACATCGAAACAAAATTTCGACGTTGCTTTTATATTAACGAGTTCAGATGATGAATTAGAATTGAGAAAAAAAAACAGTAATATAGAATTTTCACGAGTACATTTAGTAGCGAGTATTGTTCATTTGACTAATTTAATTTAGAACCATTTACGCGTTATACTGTTATTACAATAAATATTTACTCGTTGCGAATATCCAAAAACATTTGGTAACCTTCAATTCGGACGAGCTGTAGTTCTGATATGTCTAAATAGATCACATGTAAACCAGTCTAGTGTGTGCATAATGTTATACGAGCGATCTCGGTATCTAAATTTGAGACTAAACTATCAGAAAGGATAATGTTGATAATAATTTAACTTTTATCGCGAGGTTTACGGGTGGTCTGAGATGTCTCCAAATGGTTATAAGCATGAAAAACAAATAGACTTTAACGACACTTTATGGTATTAGAGGTATCCATGCACAAAGTTAGACACTTTTTTCATTATAACACAAACAAAAACTGCGTAGAGCCGTAACTTTAACCTATGTCATCTGTAAAATCATATTTTATTATTTCTTCAAAATTCACTGTCCCAAAAATTAAATTTGACTCCTTTTGTAATTTGTTGAGACTAAATTATCAAATGATTCAGATCCCTTATAGTCCCATTTACTTCCGAAGAGATTAAACTAAAAATGAGGTTGGACATAAATCTTACTTCGACAACAAGAAATGTAAAGCGCTTATCGTTGTCATAACGAATTCGGGTTTCCTTAAAAGCTTTTAAATGTTAACGGTGTAACAACTATATTATTATGTCATGTTAAAGAAGTCTAAAAGTATGTTTGTTTGGAAAAAAATCTATTAATGTAAAAAAAAAATTGAAGTTTTAACGCGACAAAAACACATAAATTTCAAACTTTGTTCCATGTTCTTTATTTCTTTCTTTTCCAAAGTATATTTTAGAATTTAAATTAAAGTTAAATTATTATGAAACTTTTTCTACAAGTTATAAAGCATTTATACTTTTTATATCATTCAAGTAGTTTCATAGTTCAAAAAAAAAAATGTGCAGTGCGACGTATATATCCATTATAAGTCTTTACCACATATATATTTTGAGTTGATATTAATTGAGCATTTAAAAACTCCTTAAAAAATAAATTAGTATTAATTTTTTATTATGAAAATATTTCAACTTTGTTTTTGAAAATTTGGTGGTTTGCTAATTATACTCTCAAAAATACTGAACATATCTGCTTAAGTTACTTTTGAATAAAGGGAAACAATAAATTTTACAAAAGAATAATTTTTTTTAATATTTTATTTAAAAGCAATTATGTATTTTAACTAAGGCCGGGGAAGTTAATTATTTTTTATAACTTGATAAGTGAAGTTACAAAGAAATCCTATTAAGTTTTAAATAATAAGCTACTAAGTTTTAATTGTTATCTCAGTTAAATTATTATTTACTTAAAAAATAATAATTTATAAACTTAAGTTAACTAGTAGAAATTTTGTTGTACATATTAACGGTAATTTTTTAGGAAATATAAATTCTAATTATTTACCATAACTATAGTAAAATTATTTTTTTTTAATTGTATAGTAACACTAAAAAAAAATTTAAATAGTTTAATTCAAAACAGTTATTATAAGTCAAACTTATATTAGGTAAAATCCATATATTTTTATCAACATTTTAAATGTTTTGGAAAAAAATTATTTCATATCGGTATAAAACTTAATAACCTGTGAATCTTAGTTACTATACACTAATTTAACTTATTAAAAAATCTAAAATTACTTATCAAGTTAATGTTACTTAACGATTGTCCCACGATAAGTTACTTGTTATACATGTATTAATGTATAAACAAAAGTTAAATTAACTAAACTTTTAATTTTTTTAAATATCATAGCTTTGATTTTGACTTAACATTTGAGATTAATTTTGTTGAATCTAAAAATATTATGTAAAGACTTCTGGAAGCGATCAAGTTCACTTAGATTTGGATTTAGATTAATTTTCTTGGAAAAGAAATGCCTTTTTTACGAATATTTGTCAAATAAATGTTATTAATATTTAATTTTATATTAAATATTTGAATATTTTTGCATACGATGGTTATCTTATATTGTTAAAAACGGTAATTTTTTAATATGATTCCAAATTCTTGAATTTTATTTAAAATTATGTCTACAAAAACTTCAGAAACTCATATTTAGAAAAAATCAACATTTTTACAGTCTATAAAATGCGAAAAAAACTTGTTTCTGAATATTATGTTTGTAATTTTTTAAAAGGGTGCAGACTGGGCAGAACAATATTCATGGTCACTCTTTAAAGCTATGTCGCATATGTTATGCATTGGATACGGTTTGTTTCCACCACAATCATTGACTGATATGTGGCTGACTATGTTGTCAATGATTAGTGGAGCTACTTGCTATGCACTATTTTTAGGGCATGCTACTAATCTCATTCAGAGTTTGGATTCTTCCCGGCGACAATACCGAGAAAAAGTAAATAAAAATAAAAATTCGAATAGGATTTTTTTTTTAGAATTATTTCACTAATTTTTATTTCATTAAAATGTTTAAGGTTAAACAAGTGGAAGAGTATATGTCCTACAGGCGTTTACCTTTAGACATGCGTAAGAAAATTACAGAATTTTTTGAGCATAAATATCAAGGGAAGTTTTTCAATGAGAAATGGATTCTTCAAGAAGTCTCTGACAAATTGCGCGAGGTATTTGTTTGAATCAGAGTTTATGGAAAATTAATTTAAACAAGAACTGTAAAAATTAATATTTTAAATTTATTATGGACATTTTTTTTTCAGGATGTCCGGAATCATAATTGTAGAAGGCTCGTTAAGTCATTACCTCTGTTTCAAAACGCTGATACGAATTTCCTTACTGATATAATCGACTGTCTAGAATTTGAAATGTTTCAATCAGGTAAATAAAATTGTCAGTATAGATTATTTCTAACTAGTATAGATAGGATAGTGTTTTAAGATCAAACTAGTTGTATTTAAACAAACAAGTATTTTAGTCAGTAAATCAATGTTTGAGTACACTATTTAACGGTTTTTAAGTTAAAAATATCAGGGAAACGTATAACTAATGGATGCTTGGAAGTCAGAAAAGAGCTGGCTTAGTACGTTGTTAACAAAAGAATGCAAAGGTTATACAAAAAAAAAAAAAAAAGGGCGCAAAAAAACAACAGAAACTAGTAAACATTAAAAAAAAAGCAACCCTTTGTGAGTTGGAAAAATTCAAAATAATTTGTTGTTTACGAAAATATTGACATCCTGAAAGTGATAAACAGCTTATATTATTTTATAATCAGAATAAATTCAGATTTCATTCGATAGCAACTATATGTATACTAACGAGAGACAATCTTTGATTATCAAATAAAGTTTGAAAAAGTAAATAAGGTAAACAATTATTTTATCTTTAGAAAATGCATTTAAATTGTAATATTGAAACAATAATGATTCATATGAATATGTTTTTCTTAACATTTTTCATTGTCAATAAAAAAAAAAAAATTTGATACATTTTATATAGGAATAAAATATTTAATTTAATAGAATTTGAAGTTAATCGAAATAATGAAACCTAGAAAGTGTATAAATTTTATTAAGAACAATTGTTAACTTGATGACTTTAGATCACATTTATTACGCAGCGTTATTAAAAAACATATATATTTTTTTAAATAAAACCTTTTTAAAATATAAATAAACTGTTTTAACGTTTTCACAAGATAAATGTTAAAATTTTTGATGTAACAATTTTAATATTTTGTTATTCTGGTCAAGTGTTTTAAGAATAATTGCTACCATTCAAATAATTAAGGATTTACGTGAATAATGTTTTAAGATTTAAACATAATATATACTGAAAAAAAAAATTCTGTTAAATCAGTGACAGCAGTATGTTTTGTTATCGGTACAAAGCGAATTTTGCTGTCTGCATTTTGTTACGGGAACAAAAAATGTATAAAAATAGCAGACAAATATTTAATATTATGTACTAATTTTGGTACTCACAATAAAAATCATTGTTTGTTGCAAACAAGACGATTTGTTAAAAACAATTTAGCATTACAAAACGTTTTGTTGTCGCAACTGTTGTGTTAGTTGAGGGTGAATCATTTTTGTGGAATTTACATAGCTGTACTTTCACAATTATTAAATTTTATGTCATTTTTACTGTACTCTTTTGCTGTAGGTATATGATCTCGTATGGTAACAATAATAATTTTATTTTGTTCGATTTACCAAATTAATTAACCAAATAAAATTTGTTGTTGTCTTATTAAATAAAAGGTAACTGAGGTAACTAAGTGATAACATTATATGAAATATTATTCAATTTTTTTATTTCATTAAGACATATTTTACTGAATATTTATAAAAAATACACAAAAGTAATCAATGAAATTAAATACCATTTTACATATTTCAAATCTAATTTTATTCAATATTTTTTATTAATTTAACTAATATTAATAATATTTCTAAAAAATACATAGATATTTAAAAAAAATATTGTATATAAATTCATTAAAAATAAATATCTTACAAACTAGTTTGACAAATTATTAATATTAATGCAACCTTATGAAAAAAAAAATAATATCTGAGTGAAGTATAACAGTAATGATACTTCGCATCTAGTTACCATTGTCCGGAATCAAAAACATTTTATCGAACTGTATTGTTGACGGTACAAAATGATAGTGACTATTACTACTATAGAGTTGGTCAAACGGATATTATTCCACTGTAACTAAAAAGTGTTATCTTTACAAAATACGTTGCAGACAACGCTAAAAAGCATGTATTTCCAAGCAAATGTATTAATGGGATATAATGTGTTTCATTTGGGTGTAATAAGTTATTTAATAAAACCAACAGTTATTTATTCTGTAGTTTCAATAAAACAACTACACACACACACATATATATATATATATATATATATATATATATATAACTGAACAATAATCATTTTATTTTCATTATTTTAGTTAACTATACTAAAAATTGTATTATATTGTTATGGTAACTGAATGATAAGTATTTTTTTTAACAACGTAGTAAATATGCATAACAAAACAGCGTTTAACAAAATCTCATTTCTATTATCAGCAAATCACTAAGTTACATTAAGCATACACATTGATACATATGACAGTTTAACTGTTACAATTTGACAATTAACAAAACGGGTTTATTAAATTCAAACATCGTAGTTTTTTCAGTGTACATTTTCAATATGAAAGTGCATTTCATTTTCATACTCTAAAATGTAATAGTTATTTTTGAAGTCATCACATTGCGGTATACTGAACATTATAGTAGCAGTTAGAGTAGTGTAATTAGGCAAATGGAAGTACTATACATTCATTATCCGTCGACAACTACTATTTCCCTTTGGCCCCATTTATTGTCCGATTTCAGTAAACAAATATTGTTATTATTATACTACGTCAGTTTACGTACATTATGTGTTTCGAATGTCTTGCAAAATTAATGTGCATTTAAAGTGATACGGTCCATTGTAATTTTAACAAATACGTTCATAGTTTTAGTGTTATATTTGATTGTGCGACAATCATTTTGTATTGTATAAATTATTGCGATATTTAACTAATAGCGGAATGCATAACAGACCCATCGTTAGAAAGTTTAATTATAATAGAAAGTACATTAAGGCTCATTTTTACTTTATAAATTGTATAACATTAAAAAATTTCATTAATTATAAATGCATTTTACTCAAGACATATAAACCCTATTTACTGTCAATATGAATAATATTCAAATATGTGAATATAAATAGCCATGTTTTTATGTATAGCCAAGTTACATTCATAAGTTTTTTTACAATTGCCTTATCATGATGTTATTAAGAATTATCAAAAGAAGTAGTAAATTGAAATTAATAACGATTAATCAAATAAAATTAAATCTTTTATAAACTAATTTTAATATTTATTTAGGCTTATACTATCTATTTAAATAATTATAATTACGGAAAAAAATAATTTAGTTATTTAAAATAATTATATAAACTATAATCGGACAAATCAATGTGCTGTTTACACAACTATCATAATCTAGTTCGAACTGTTAAATAAATAGTATCTAGTTTTATATAGTTAAACATTAATTAAATATAATAAATGATAAATTTAATATACGACCCAATTACGATTTCTAAATAAATGTCAATTTCCCGATTTTAGTCCAATTAATTAAATATTATATTCAAATTTATAAATTCAATTTTAATATTGCAAATTCAGGAAGAACTCGAGATTTTTAAACTCTCAAAATTAGCCGCAATCTCCCTAAAAATGAAAAAAAATTGTATATATTCATGTATAATTGTTGAGGGATGGTGTGGCCTGGTCGTTAACGCGGCATTACTTGACGTGCACTGCTTTGGGTTGGAAACTCAATCACGAGTGGCTTCATTAGTCGAGCGAGAGTTCAGTTCGGTAATTGGAGTCGTCATCCCTTTCTCCGGTTCGGACTAACTACCCGTCTTGGAGTATCAATGTATAAGAAATATCCTCCTTTTGGGGGAGCCACTTCGACTCATAATGGACTTATAAAACGTTATAAATAGATATATATAATTGTACATACATTTATAAAAAAATTCTGAATAATTATAGTAAATTTTGAGGAATTTAATGATCTCTAGCCCTTCCTAAATTTGCGTCTATGTTTAAGATTATAGATAAAATTAAAAAAAAAAAGTAAAACTTGTAGTACATTGTGTATAAGAATAAATATTATTTATTTCTTGTTAAATTTTAGATGTCATTATTCGTCATTTTTACATAAAGAAAGTACAAAACATAATATGAGCATACGTTACAACATATTGAATAGGCTCAATGGTAATTGATATATATTAACATATTTTTATGTATGCAATGATGTTATTTATAACGCAGTTATGTTTTAATAACGCCAACTATGGTTATCATAAAATACCTCTTGCTAATAAGGAAACTGATTAAGATATTAATTCCAACAAAAAATTATATAGTAAAATTGTGAGTTCCCAAATTTTTGCTGTATGAAATTAATTTTTAGTCTAGATGCGAAGCCGAGAAAGTATTAATTTTACCGTGATGTGTTTATGTATTCATTTTTATTATTAATATTCTTTTTTGAGGACAGTCACTACTTTTTCTCAGCTCTCACTTGACCGATTTTTCTCAAAGATACGTCAAAATATCACAAATCGTATCTGGTTAAAGACATTACTCTCAAAAATTGAAAATTTATTCCTCGTTTCCGTAAATGATGGAAATCCTTCAAAAAAGTACGATGCAAATCTGTAGGTAATATTTAATTTTAAGAAATTGGTGGATTATTCCAAAAGCAAATTGACTTTTGTGAAAAAGTTGATATTTTAAATATTCTTTTCTGGATAGGTAATAGATTAGATGTTGAAAAAAAAATTATATCATATGAAACGGTAATCTTTATATAAAAAAGTTTCTATATAAAAAAAAATTACTTTTATTTCTGAATTTTTGAAAAAGTTATGGCACTTTTAAGAAAAAAAAAAATATGTTAAAATTTACCGATTTTAAAAATTGTAATTTTTAAAGAAATTTCCTCCGTTTACAGGAAATGAGGGGAAAATTTTCAATTTTTAAGGAAATGTCTTCAACTTGATACGATTTGTGATGTTTTAATGTATTGTTGAAAGAAATCGGTCCGGTGAGTGTTGATAAAATGTAACGATAAACATAAAACAAAAAAACCTAGCACAGGGGGGTCGTGGCACAGTTGAGTCAAGTACAATGATATCTGACAGTGATTAAAATCATTATCATAAAAAACGCTTTGATGCAAATCTTTAGATAGTGTTTAATTTTAAAAAATTGGTGTATTATTCCAAAAGCTACATGATTTTCTATTTCCTTATTTATATCCTGAATGAAAAAGGGATTATTAAAAAATATTATTTCTCATAAAAAATTGTGTTGATCCATACACTTTTCAATAAGTTATAGAATTATAAAGTTAAAAATGTAAAAAATAAAATTAAGAATTTTCACACAAAAATAGCATTCGGTAACTATTTTCACCGTGTAGACAAAATAAAGTCCGAACATTTTTTTTTTATATTAAAGTATATTACATTATATTTAATTTAAGATATGTATAAAAGTGTCAGAGTATCCGGAACACTTTCAAAAGTTAAGTTGAAAAAGTTGTCATTTTGAATTCCCCCTGTGGGCAGGTAAAGGGTCAGATTTATAAAAAAAATATACAAAATAATAGGTAAATACCTCATTAATCTTTAAAAAAAATTTTTATATTGATTTGGTCATTTTTTAAAATGTTATGGCAGTTTTAAGTAAAAAAATTGAAAAATATCGAAAATTAGCGATTTTTCAATTTGTAATTTATTTGGAGATTTCCCCTATTTACGGGGAACGACGGAAATGTTTTAAATTTTTGAGGGTAATGTCTTCGACTAGATACGATTTGTGATCTTTTGACGTATCGTTGAAAGAAATTGGTTCGGTGAGAGCTGAGAAAAAGTGGTAACAGACACAAAAAAAAAAAAAAAACGCATCATAGTAAAATTAATACCTTTTAGCGTTGCATCGAAGCTTTAAATTTAAAAAGTTTATTAGTTCCAGTTCATTTTTCTATTCGAGAGCTTCTTTTCATTTGCATAGTAAATTGTTGTTATTTCATTCAATTTTTTTTATGATTATTGTATAATGGGGCGTTTCTGTTTTTCTAGTAAGTATATATGAGTGTACTTGGTGTGACCGATTTGAATTTTCATTAGAATAGTGTCAACTTTTTTATTTATACTTTTTTTTATTATAAGTAGAGATGAGAATGCTAAGATGGATGAGTGGAGTGGCTAGAAAGGATAGAATAATGAACGAGCATATAAGATGGTGGTTAGGTGTAGCGTCAATCGTGGATAATATGAGAGAAATTAGGCTTAGATGGTTTGGTCATGTTATGAGGAGAGAAGAATCGGAAGCCGTAAGAACAGTTATAGAAATAAATGTTGAAGGAAGAAGAGGCAGAGGAAGACCAAAAAAAGAGATGGAGAATGATATTGAATACGATTTGAGGACAGCTGATGTGAGCATAGATGATGTGGGAGATCGTGTCAAATGGAAGTTTTGGATAAGGGTGGCAGACCCCAAGTAGCTGGGATTAAGGCGAGGAAGAAGAAGAATTTTTTTTATTATAAAGTAAATGTTATATGTTCGAAACTACTCGAACATTAACATTTATTAACCAATAGTTTTACATAATTAAAGTCGTAGAAAAATGTTATGCTTTGAGCTTTTTATTTGGTTGGTTAAAAGACCAATTACTCAAAAATTTTTAACTAGTCAAGTATATATTATTTTCAAATAATAATTATAGCATATTTGTTTAAAAAGTTAGTAAAAAATTATTCGCAAATAGTTATAACAATATTAGTTTTTTATTTTAGGTGATACAATCATACGTGAGGGCACAATAGCTTCCAAGATGTATTTTGTGGAAGAAGGAGTTGTGGAAGTGATGATATCCAGTGGGCAGCAGGTGGTCGCCACTTTAAGTGATGGTAGTTATTTTGGAGAAACGTGTTTGTGGGCTCCTGGGGCCCGCCGTCCAGTGACAGTGCGTGCTGAAACTTATTGTACACTTTTCTCGTTAGCTGAGTCGGCTTTTAGACTTACTTTAGATAAGTATCCTGAGTTCAAACAGCAAGTAACCGTTATATTGAATGACCGTGCCATACGGATGGCCGAGCTGGGTCAATGCTTGTCCGAGGGAGACGCGAAATTATAACATAACTTTTTTGATACTCACATTGCCAAGTAATTGTCTACTTAATTACTATTTCTCTTTTATAATTTACAAAAAATTCAAGTTGAATAGGGATCAAGTTAAAAGTTAATTAGACTTTTTACTATTTTTAAAGTTTATTTAATGAGTTATAATTTTTAAATTACCAAAAAGATGATTATATTAAACATTTATATATCTAAATGAATATTTATATTTTATAAACCATTTTTATAGATATTTGTCAAGGATCTTGTTGAATTAAAGTGCATTGTTGCAAATTTAAATTTGATTGATTAATAATTGATTCATTAATTTTTACTGTAGTTTTGATTTGTATGTGACGATTTTAAATGTATTTGGATGCCAAGGTAATAATAATGCGTAGTTTTTTTTGGATAACTTTAAAATTACATTTATTTATTATTGAGAAATATTTTATAACAATGTTAATTTTCTGCCTACTATACATGATTAAGATCAGAAGTCTACATTTTAGTCTTGACTTTAAGTACTTTTTGGTTATTTAAATGTTAATATTGTTTATTTTTGCTATTTCTTAAACGTTTAAACTCGGTTCATTGCTTTATTAATTTGGTGGGTATTATTCCTCTGTACCGATTCAGTTTAGCATACTATAAATAATTCAAAATAGCTACGACGAGAATGTACACACTAATAAAATGCTAATAAGTTGAAGCGGATCTTTAGAAATACTCCGTAAATAAACAATTGTCTGTTGGGTAAATATTGCTTTCCTTTTGTCAGCACTTATGGTCTAGTGAATAATAATCGACGAAGTACTGTAGGCTTAGTTATCACATCCACTTTACACATCAATCTTATTGAATTTAGTAAATTTAAAATGCACTTCGATATACGAAGTGAATTATTTTAGTATTTTGAAGTATTGACAAAATTCTTATTCTTTCATGGGCATAAAAATAGATAGTGCTTTATTTAATAAGTTTAATTCATAATAGTTGGATCTAACCATCAAGTTGGTGTACAACGTATAAAACACAAACTGTGTGTAATGTGATCGAATGTTAACATTATTTGTAAATATTTGCTCAATTTCTTTTATTGTTAATTTATTTTCCACATAACATCTGCTTTAATATTCAACATAGTATAAAAGTTTATACTCGTAGGGTTATTATTAGACAAACCATATATTTTTTTTGGTTTGAATACCCTCAGTTATACCTTTCAGCCCGAATTAATATAAATAATGTTGTTTAAAAATGGTTTTGTTTTTATGAATGCTATAACATTTTCAGTTTAATTTGTATTCCATATTGTATGCAGATCGAGGTAGAAAAATAAAAATGTACTCGCTAAAATAAGGAAATTATTGGATGAATTTTGGTTATGACGAACAATAAATATATAAGTATAAAATATGATAATAACATGAAAATTCTGGATGAGTTTATCAGCATTGTCATCTCAGATAGTACACCCAAATGGGATGCACGAAATCATGAATAATATATGATCAGTATGTACGCAGACGATTTAAAATTATGTCCTTTTCGAGTTTGTCGTTAAATTTTAATAATTTTACCTTATAAATAAATTCAAACTACATTAATTAATTATAACAACAAGAATCTCATCAGCTTGCTATTTTCTTTATAACTAGACCTTTGTCATTCATTAAAACTTCCTGATCTAAAACGCAACCTTTGCACCGATGTTATTATATTGCCTATATAATGCGCCGTCTAATTTTAGATATAACGTTTTTGGTACAGAAAATACATTTATCAGTCGAACAAGTAGGTAGAAGCTAAAAATATAAAATATTATAAGAAAATGTAAATGTAATTTTATTTAAATAAATACATAAAATATTAATTCAATTTTAAAAATATAATTGCCACAAAAATGTTATTAATAAAAAAACTACCAATACGAATTTGACAAGTATGTTATTGTATTTAGCGCTTAATTTCTCTTAAAATAATAATCATCAACTTTATTTTTTAAAATTAAAATATATGTATTAATTTAGCTTATAAAAGAGAATATGGTTTAATTAAGAAAATGACTGATTGATAACAACTTTTGGAAAAGTAATTGAGAAGTTATTAATATTTTTATAGAGTTTTTTGGAAAAAACAGACAATTGATTTATCGATATTACTATACTTAGAATAACCAGATTTCCTTGAATAGTTTACAAATCAAAAAAATAATTCTACATTAATAATTATTTTTAACGAACTCAGTTGAATAATTTACTAATAGATTACATTAGAAATTATTCTACACGAAAATATCTTGAAGTTATTTTTACACAGAACAACTAAAAGACGTAATCATAATGTTAATTCTGAAGAACCTTGGGGTGAGCAATCGATAAATTATAATAAACATCATTAATTTTGTTCAAAACAGTATTAAGTAAAATGGAAAATTATTATACTTTAATATGCCGTAATAAATGTACGATTTATCGGGTAAACAAAAATGTATAAAAACGAAATGATTTGGTATTTTTAGCTTTAATGTGAATTTCTATGACTAATTCAAAGCCATTTAGACCCATTACAACTTCCACTATTCCTTTTCACGTTACTCTATCTAATGCTAACCTTTCTCCGTCTCTAATTCCTCAGAGTTTCAGATCATTTTTTTACTCGGAAGCTCCAATACTGTCTTGGTCATTCTCTTAGTTTGGTTTGATATGGCTTCCACATTGAGACATTGTTTACTGTACAATATTCGGTTTTGCATATATGTCCTGTTCAGCTCAATCTTTGACTTTTTAGAACACCTACTGTATCGACTCGATTAAATAATTTCTTTAGTTCTGTGTTTGTCTTCGTTCTACCAATTATAATTATACTGCATACATTAACATTACCATATTTTAATCTCCAATTTTTAGATTAATGGCGCCTTTTTACACTTTCTTTACTACTGAATCCAGGGTAACGTTGATAATCATGGAAGATTATCCATCTTCTTGTCTCAAACCGGTGTCTACAAGAAAATCTTCTGACTTTTTGAGTTGAATTTTATTTATATTTGGGATTTTTATTACAAACCTTCTTCAATCTCACAAATTTCACCGGTGTTCAGAGTTCAAAAATCACCTACCAAAGACTATCTTTTAATATAGTCGTTGGCATGTTTGAAATCTATAAATTGTAAGTATATTTCTAGTTTGATTTCATAGATTTTTTTTTTATTTGTTTGATGATATGTATTTAGCTATAGTCGATTTACCTTGTGTTAAACCCGCTTGGTATTATCCTATTATCTCTTTGGCGTATAGTTTGTGAGATGCTTAGTAGCGTATTCAACAGAATTATGTATGATGTATTAAAAAAAGAGATTTCTCTATAGTTTAGGATATATATAGCATTTCATTTTTTATATTTTGGATATAAGAGTATTTGTTATGCTGATGGTATTCAATAAGTTGTTTTAGTTTAGTAATTAGGGCTTTTTTTTTTTTTTTTTAACAGGTCTGCTGAAATTTAATCTTCTACCGGTGCTTTTTTATTCTTGAGAATATTTATTACTCGTTCAGTTTTATCCTTTGTGGATTCTTCTATGTATTGTTAATTTGTAGCAATTTTCCACTATGACTCATTTTAGGTTAACTGATTGTTTCAAATACGTTTTTGAACATTTTTATTAATAAAAATATATTAATTTTATTATTGTATGCTTTTCATTATTTTTTTTTGTCTGTCACTATTTTTTCTCAGCTCTTACTGAAATAAATTTTTTTCATCGATACGTCAAAATATCAAAAATCGTGTTTAGTTATTTAGTATTTATTTGAGTAAGAAATTATCTTAAAAATTTGAAAATATTTCCTTCTTTCCCAGTGAATGATAGATATTCTATTTTCGATTGTCTATAACCGATCACTCTGTATACTGAAAATAAACAGTTATTATTTATATATTATCAAATTATTATTTTATAGGAAATTGTCTTCTTACAACCTCAAAGATTTGAGCAATTTAGAGCAAGTTATTGTTTTTGAGAAATCATCGGAATTGTTTAAAGTATTCTCAATTCGATTTCAAGTGAAGTCTTCTCAGTTATTATAATTGAATGTTACGAAGTATATAGTATCATGAACATTATGTCCTCTTCCGTTTTTACCTTAGAAGGGAAAGTCGCAGTTTCCAAACGCTTGAAAATTATTTTATTATAGTTCAATGGTTTGTTAAGTGCTCTCGAACATAAGGGTCTTATAAGCGTGCCTTTAACCTTTGTAAAATAATGTTAATAAACGGTAAATTCATTAATGGGCGTAAATAACAGTTTCAGATTATTTCAAACCAAGCCATGCGAAAACAACATACAACTTAATTATTAGAAGGCTATTTCAAAATTTAATTCAGTAATCACATTAAGAGCTTTAAGTCTTATAGGGAGTTCAATGTAAACATTCGTGATTTTATTAAAATATAATATTGTTATAGCAAAATAATTTTGTTAAATGGCTTAGATACAATAATTACTACTGTTTGTTATGATTGTTATTTAAAAATGTTTAAAAAGACCATGATCTCGATTGGTTGAATTCTTAGCAATTTTTATTTATTTATTACGATATATTGTAAAATTTATTTATGTTATATATTTTTTGGTAGAAGAAATCAATATTATTAAGAAAAAAATATTTTTGAATAAAGCTTAATTGGTTTAAGCAACTATTAGCAAATCGTGATAAAGAATATAAGCTTTAAGTAGTTGTAAGTACCGAATTCCAAAAACTTATACTAGCAAGTTTATAATTATCATTACGTAAAAAGTAAGTACCTTATTTTTTAAAAATCTTGTTAAAACCAAAAATAGACAGTATACGTTATAAACGATTTTAATTGAGATTGTAATTTTTGCAATGTGTGTTGAGATAATATGGTATACGTTTTTACATATATACGAGTACGTTTGGGTTCATTATGTCGTCGTATTGTATTTTTACAATAAAACATTTGAAAGTATTGAACAGAATTTTGTTGTATTTTAACTTGCACAAAAAACTTTGTTTTGACTTTTGGAAACAAATAATCCATTAAAAATACAATTTATTGGGGTTATTTTATTATTTTCGCGGAGACTTCAAAAGGTTAGCGTTTTACATGCTATATGATAAATTAGATAACCGAATAGCCCAAATTCTCTTCCGTGACATCGCGATACAAAAATTACTATAAATTTAATAGGATTTCTCAATAAAATAAATTAACATCGGGCTAACGTAATTTTTTGTTATCTATACCTCTGGAATGTTGCCCATAATCCTTGTTTGTTGGACGAATCCTACGCACCGGATACAATATGATGCCATGGTTATTATGCAGCAATACGCAA